AGCGCCGAGACGACTGCCAACAATTCTCGATTACCAATGTCATAGTTGCCCTCTGCCTTAGTAAGACGCCTCGAGAAAAATGCACAAGGGTGAAGTTTGTTGGTTTCTGGGGATCGCTGTGACAGAATAGCCCCCACCCCTAGGTCTGATGCATCTACCTCCACTGTAAACTGCCTTGTAGGGTCAGGATGGATAAGAACAGGTGCAGTGGTGAACTTTTTTTTTAGCCAATCAAAAGCAATTTGAGCTTCAGAGGTCCAGACAAAGGGGGACGATGTAGAGGTGAGACGTGTAAGGGGAGCTGCAACTCTGCTGTAGTCTCTAATGAAACGTCTAAAAATTGGCAAAACCCAAAAATCTTTTCAGCAGTTTACGGGATGTGGGTGTAGGCCAATCAACAACAGCCTGGATCTTGGCTGGGTCTGCTGACAGTCTTCCTTCAATAAAAAACCCAAGGAAACTAACCTTAGGTTTGTGAAATTCACATTTCTCAGCCTTGACGTAGAGTTTGTTTTCCAATAGTCTCTTTAGCACTAGCCGAACATGCTGGACATGCTCTTGGATGTCTTTGGAGAAAATCAAAATGTCGTCCAGGTAAACAAAAATAAACTTGTTGAGCATGTCACGCAAAACATCATTTATGAGTGACTGGAAGACTGCTGGTGCGTTTGTGAGCCCAAAAGGCATTACCTGATATTCAAAGTGACCCAGTGGAGTATTGAATGCAGTCTTTCACTCATCTCCACTTCTGATTCGCACAAGATGTTAGGCATTGCGAAGGTCCAGCTTAGAGAAAACCGTAGCCCTGTGCAGAGGCTCAAAGGCAGAATCAATTAGTGGGAGTGGATACTTGTTTTTTACTGTGATAGCATTGAGACCACGGTAATCAATACATGGCCGCAAAGTCTTATCCTTCTTGTCTACAAAGAAAAACCCGGCTGCAACAGGGGAGGAGGAGGGCCGGATGTGACCGGACGCCAGTAATCATGAATGTACTTCTCCATGGCTTCTCTTTCAGGACCTGAGAGATTGTACAAACGGCTAGACGGTAAAGGTGCCCCTGGGAAAAGGTCAATAGCACAGTCATATGGCCTATGTGGAGGAAGAGAGAGGGCTCGATCCTTGCTGAAAACTTAGGCCAAATCATGATACTCAGGGGGCACATCTGAGAGATCAGTTAGTGCAGGTTGAGTGGTAGTAGGGACATGGGCAGGTGGGTTGGCGGAACGGAGACAATTAGAGTGGCAGAAAATGCTCCATGTAGTTGATCTGGATGGCCAATCAAACTGGGGATTATGCAGTGACAGCCAAGGAATATCAAGGACAATAGGAGCGAGTGGTTTGAATTCTAAAGTCGTTCTGATGTTGATGGTGTTGATCAAGACTGGAGAATTTCATGTTTGTATAAGCTTAAGCTGGCGGTGTGCCATGTGATGGTTTTAAATGGAAAAGGTATGTCCAAAATAGGCATACCCGCCAAGGGGCGACATTAGCTCAGTTGGTAGAGCATTGGCCTTAAGGCCAGAAGGTTGTGGGTTCAATTCCCACCTCTACACCTTCTCCACTGACTCCCACTGATGACTGCTGTTGTTGTATCCTTGGGCAAGACACTTTGCCCAAAGCCCCCGCTGAAAGATCAAGGCTATGCTCACACTCAGAGAGCAGCCGTCCTCCTGTGGACTCACCACCTGCAGAGGGTCAGTGAGGGGCTGGTGCTATGAGACTTGGGTGGCATCTCTGACTGCCACCCCCTTGACCCAGAAATGGATTAAAGGGTAGAAAATGGATGGATGGATGTCCAAAATTCAGCAGCTCGACTCCTGAGTAGAACCAGAAAGTAAAACCACATTAGTCCAGTTCTCAGGTCTCTGCACTGGCTTCCTGTGGCTCAGAGAATAGACTTTAAATCAGCTCTGCTTGTGTAAAAGTCTCTTCATGGCCTCGCACAAAAGTACATAAGTGACATGTTAGTACCACATGAACCAACTCGGACTCTGAGGAGCACAGGGACTGGCCTCCTGCGGTTGCCCAGAGTCAGAACTATTCTGTATGTTTGTTTCTGGAACTGCCATGTATGTGTACTATTTTCACTGTATGTTTTCAATTGTAAAGTGCTTTGCGATCCTGGTCTGTGAAAGGCGTTATATAAATAAACTTAACTTACTTAGAACTAAACATGGGGAGGCAGCATTTTAGACCCATGCTGCTATAGTATGGAAAAGTCTTCCAATAATGTGAGACTGGCTTCTTCACTGGCGGTCTTCAAATCCAGGTCTGTTTGCCTGTGCATGAAAATTAAGGATTTTATCTCTACTCTTTTAATGCACTGTTATTATTTATTATTTATAAATAACATATATGATTTTAATGTTTTAATGTTTTCGATTACCGTTGTGATTTGAATTTGTTTAATGTGATTTTGATGGTTGTTTTATGTGATGATTTGTGCTTTGTGTGGTGTGGACCGTGAAGCGCTTTGTGTTGCCCTGTGTAGGAAAGACGCTCTATAAATATTGATTGATTGAAGGTGTGCTGCCGCTCAAAAAGGTTGGGGAACACTGCTGTTGAGGGAAGGGTCAGGTGGTACGACACACATTGGCCGACTGCTCCTTTAACGGCAGACTCCATTCGCGCCCTTATGACTCACTCTCTGCAGAAAAAAAAACCTCCAGCTCGTCCTTCTTCCCATTTGTATACAGCTCCATACTCCACTGGTCACTCTATATCCCCCATAACTGTGGACTAATGTGTACCGAGGGTCCTGGGTTTGATTCCACCTCCAGGCCTTTCTGTGTGGAGTTTGCATTTTCTCCCCGTGTCTGCATAGGTTTCCTCCAGGTGCTCCGGTTTCCTCTACCACTCAAAAACATGTACAACAGCTCTGAATGTAATGAGTGAGTGAATGGACGGTGTCGGTTGGAGGGTTTATGCACCACTCTGTTCGGCGTCTCGCTTCCATCATCACCATGTTTGGAAAGAATGGAAAATTATATGAACTTTCAACAAATGTAAAGCGCTTTGGGTGAGCTTGGTCTGTAAAATGTGTTATATACAGTAGATGGATATGACTTAATATATAAGATTACTTTCTGTTTTTGTGCTGTAAAACTGTGTTGGTTTGACAACAGCTTTAACCAACACATTTTAACGTCTGTCATAACACTACACTCTAAGAAACTACAACACACTAATAGTTTGCCCTCAAAACAGTTTGGTTCAATCTCCAGTTTTCACATGAATGTTGGCCTTTTTTCAACTTTTATTATTTTAAATTATGTCTGATTAGTGAAAAAATAGTTGAACTCTCAATGGTTTCAAACATTTTAATTTGGACATAAAATTGTGATTATTGGTAATGTTTGGGATTGTTAACCATTTGAAAGGAGTACTCGAGAATTATTCATATGCCAACTTGTATTATTGTCTCCATGTTGTCAAATGCTGGTCATAGGTTTGCATGTGTTTATTTATTGTAGCCAGTCATCTCATGTTTATTTTTACACCCAAAGTGCTATACTTTTGACACCTGTGGAGCCATGTGAAGGGAGCCCCATGTTACCATGGTAACATCATCAAATGTAGACTAGCGCTCTCACAGTGCCTCGTCCTCTTTGGGCTTTATCTGCATCTTTTCGAACTGTATTCCTCGCCCTCGTGTTGTTGTTCTTCAGGCCACATGTCTTTCTCATGTGCTGTATGTTGCATCTCACACGGCTTTCTCTCCCCATCCCCTTCACCTCCCACTCATCTCCCTGTTTTCGCGGTCACATTGTGTTGAGGGGGAGATATTTTTAGCTGCAAAATGTGAGTCCTCTTCTGCTCTCCAATTCACATTGGGAACGAATGTGCCTGTAAATAATGATTAATTCATTGCAGTTTATCATTTTCATTTGTATCATTCTACAAAAAATAAACAAGATGAGAGTAAATAAGAAACTGAGTAAATAAGAAAGCAAAGAGAATGTACAAATGGTATTTGAGAGCATTTTAATTTCACTTGGTATGGAAGAAAAGTGATGGCACACTTCGCCTTCATTCTTTTTTCAGATTCTAGGTCCATATATAGAAGAGCACTGTCCCAGGGTAGAATGCTCTGTCTGTTCCAACACAGGACTCCAACTGTGACAAAAGGATTTCATGATCGATTCATGAATACTGCTGTGAGCTTTGAAGCAATTCTGGATTTCCCCAAGTCATCATGGAAAATAAGAGCATTAACATATTACATGTTTGTGCACTATACTGCATGCAGAAAGAATGTAATGCCAACAAAAATATTTGTGATTTACTGGTGAAAATGTGATTTTCACTCTTTAGTTTTTGCTAAATGGATAAATTGTAACCACAATCAAATCAAATCTTCTGAGATGAACCCTGGACCAGATTGATTTGCAAACTCACAAATAAAGTAGGGCAAACATTTGCAAAAAAGTTAATTGGAATTGAATATCCCAAAAAGGAGCTTCCACCCTTTTGCTTTATTATGGGTCTTTAAATCTAATTTCCAATGACATTTGACTTTTGATGATATCAGAGGACACTTCAGGGCCCCGGCCTCACAAAAAGTACAAACATTTGTTTGTACTCAATATTAATGTTTACCATATTTTTGATTGGCATTTAAGAGAACAATGGAGGGTATAGTGAGGGGTTAGTAAGCTTCATACAAATAATAATGTCCAATAATCTAAAATTTGCATAATCTCTAAACCCACACTTTTAAACTGGCTTGGCTGCATTTTACCTTTCCACAGGTGCCTCGTTTAGAATGTTGATGTTTCCATGTACAAATGTTGGAAGCATTGAAGAATTATCTAATTTCAAAAATAAAGATAAAGCTGAAGAATTACATTTTGCAGTGTACGTTGTCTTTCCCTTAAAAACCTTATCCACGACCCTTCCTGTCTTCCTCCTTGCCTGTCTATCTGCCTCCATTGGTTCCTATTGAGTCTATTTTTAGCTCTTGCAGACTGGTCACGTGGTGTGGAAGGACGTCAATAATGTTGTTGTTGGTGGTGGGTGAGGGAGGGAAGGAGAGAGCCCCACACTGTAAATATGGAGGCGGCCAAACGCTAGGAGGTGAGACCGTGATCTAGTTGTGCCCCCCATCTGAGTAAATTCTGCGCGTTTTCATTGGAAACACCAATATTTATGGATTTGGACAGAAGAGGACAGGGCGCAGCGACGCTTTGACAGCCGCAGAGAAAGCGACCTCCGCACGGGTGAAGCTTTCGGGGGGAAGAGCCTGACACCCACACGTAACTACGGTAAGGGTGACTTAACGATACGTGACATAACCTCCAAATACTTAATGTTTTGTTAAGCATTTATGATTGGTGTGGATGTGCACTTGCTAACTTACTCCACGCTAGCGCCTTTTGCTAACTTGGGAATAGTTCTTTTCGGCTGCTATCGCTAACCAAAGTACACCTGGCAGCGTTGAATGCTAACAGTGAAACAAGTTATTTTGAGACGTATTCCGCCTGCATTTCTTTTAAAATATTTGTCATAGCGTGTGTATTACAGAGGAACAACTAGCAAGTGACAGCTCAAAGTTGACTACTAGCCACGCACTACAAGCAGCAGGACCATTCTGGAGCTAACGAGGAGGAGGGATGATTGACTTGTATTAGCTAGCTTTAATGTGCTGTCATGACTACATTCAGCACAACCAACCAGCAATATTTAACCAAAACATGCACTGCTTTTGCAAAGTCACCTTTCGCCTCTTAACCAGACAACGAACTAAATAAAGTTAGAAGTTAGTACGAAGTGTACTATGATATGAGATGATGTATTCATGTGGACAGAAGTCATATAGACTATAGGATTGTACATTTATTTTCCTAGGACGGCACGGTGAGATTCGGGTTCGAATCTCGGTCGGACCAGGGCCTTTCTGAGTGGAGTTTGCATGTTCTCCCCGTGTCTGCGTAGGTTTCCTCCGGGTACTTTGGTTTCCCCTACCACTAGAAATATGCAGTAGTCCTGACCAAGCCGAGCATTAACACCTGGAGATGGGTTCCTGGGCGCTGTACTGCAGCTACCACTGCTCCTGATTTAAGCCTTAGTGGCATCAGGATGGGTCAAATGCAGAGGACAAATTTCCCTACGGGGACAATAAAGTGCACATTTACATTTACATTTAGACAGGACTGGATTTTAATTTCTAGCATCTATTCCTGGTGATGCCCTCATAGAATGTCTTTGTTGCTTGACCACAAAGCATTTCTGCAACTTGAAGTATGTGTTGCACCCGAAACATGTTTGATTGGGGGTATCTGGATCTACCAGTAGTAGAGTATTTTCTGCACGAGCAAAACATTGCAGACCAATGTGCTGGATCTTACTGATATTCCTAATAATTCCCCTCCTTGTATTTGCTTCCTGGTACGTTACAGTATTCTGTAGTAGTTGTTTTTTTCTTAGACTTGTATTTGTCTCAGTATTATTGTTGTAATTTTTTTCTTTAATCTCATGTCATTATTACACGCAGGTTGGCCTTTCGAAGAGCATCACTGCCTAATTATCTGACATGTTTGTTTAACTGGCTCTCTGAACACAAGATCACAGGACCATGTACTTTTAATAACCGTTCGTACAAGAACTAAACTTGGCAAGAAGGATTTTTAATATTTTGCATCTCAGAATGTTCCAACTTTTTTCCAAATTCGACACGCAGGGGTCGCTCTTGCATGTTTTTAACTGTTTTTGTTATCGTGCTCATGTATTTTTTTTGTGTTGTGTGTGCATGGCTCCAATGAAAAAGAGTCATCCCTAATGATATAGAAATCATTCATTCACCAGTTTTGTTTGGTGAATACTCAAATATTGAACTGTCTCTCCCAGATGACATGTTATTACCAGAACTTGTTGTTGCCATAGGGTGCACTCCATAGAGCATGACATGTTTGATAATTTCAGGCTACAGCAATGAGACATTTTGAAGCCAGGTCACACCTTATGTAATCGCCCAATATTAAGCCTGTTCAACTCTTTTGGATATTGGCTCTGTAATTAACCCTGACGTAAGATGGTATAAGTAACACACCAAACCAGCAGTTTCACTCCCTGTTCTCACAGGCACCAGCTCGCCCCCTTTTGAAGCCTTCTAGTCACCATCAGGTAGACCGCACAACACGTCAGCGCCAATTATTTACCATCATTGGTCACAAGTAACAAGTTTAAGTATAGTACTGTGACTTGGCTTGTGGCTAGTCATCTTAAGAAGGCTTTCATTGAGGGTAGGAGTAATAATAGGGAGTTGGTGTATTTTATAAATGTCCAATCAAATTTGACACCTACTATAATGTGTTTTATGAACCGAAATGTAAGTTATCAGATTACAAAAAGCTCATCTGAAGACTTCACTAAGACTTATATGCAAAACAAAGACTTTACAAATGTTCTGTCATGCTGTTCACCCTCACTTCATGGCGCTTAAAAAAGTAGCTCAGGACCAAACAAGCATCGACATCTGAAGAGCCAAGCCTGAGATGTTAGATAATGTCTTTAATTCTCCCCCCCAAAACACAATCATTTAAAAAGAATAAAACATATACCAAAATAAATGCCTCCAGTAAACTATGATGCATGTAGAATGTTTTGGCACTTTGGTGTGTTTGTGAGTTGAACCCCTGCCCGCTGCTAGTCTCATCTAATCTACTGGTAACCATTCAGATGCTTTGAGTAATAAACCCTTAATAATATTGTTTTACCTCAGAGTCCCAGAACCATAATCATACATTTTTCATTTGTGTGTAAACATGTATGAAACAAAATGTTGCCACAGTTATCATGACACAATTATTCTTTTTAACAATCAAACAAAAGAGAATTTGTATTTACATGTTAGTGCAGCAATTTTGAGCAATAATTATCCCCTGCACGGAAACAACAGTGATTAAACAATGTAATACTTTTACTTTTGCACCGCAGTCCCTAAGTAATTTCTCAACAATGAATTGCTCATTATATTATGTTCTTTTTCTGACGCTGCTCTCATGCGTAAGAGTGTTTATTGATCCAAGTGAATAGAGCACATTTACAATAGTCATGGGACGTCTGGCAGTAGTAAATACACAAAGACAGGATTGTGTTGTATCATGTACTGTAGTATAAGTAATTTTCATTACTGACTTGGGAGAGTCCTAATGTTTCTCAGGGCAGAGTCTTGAATATGCATCCTGCTGCTCTGTGTGCCAAGGACACTACGGCTGTGTGAATGTGTCAGAAGGCTGCTTTTTTGAGCACAAGAGAAACTGTAGGTAAGCAGTTTCAGTTTGTGTGGTGCGTTGTGTGAGGTCACTATTCAAGACTTTGAATTCATTCTTTAACTATAGACCAGCAGCAGCTCGAACAAGCTTTGTGTCATGGTGGTGCAATGCTGTGCTGAAATCACTTGAATCCAAAATGTGTTGAAGAAGCAGAACTTGCAGTAATCCTTTTGTGCCAGCATCACTGTCTACTCCCCCAAGGTCATTACGTCCAATCTCTGTCAGCACGTGTCATTATTATTACAGTACTATTTCTGTACGGATCATTGCAGGTCCAAATGCAGAACAACTGAAAAAGTATAAATCATTTGTGCAAACGCTGAAAGTACAATTTTGTTTTTTTCTTTATTCCAAATACTTTCTATTTGAAAGTAAACTTCTGTAACCACTGTGTCTGTGCCATATGGGCTGTGAAGAACTTTCCCAATGTCAAAACTTAATGTTATCACTAGCCACTGCACAAAATGCAATTTGAAAATCAATTGTGATACATGATATGACAAATGATATTCTGCCCTACATTCAGCTTGTGATTGTAATGATTCTTTCATTGCTCAGGTCAGACCTTGGTTCTCTTTTTTTCTCCATCTCCTGCTAGAACACATCTGCGGTTTGTTTAGTGAAAAGTGTTGAGGTGAGGTGTTTCCACGGCAGCCTGCTCTCGCGGTTGCCTGGCAGCACTTCCGGCTCACTGTTCTGGTCGGGAGGGGTCAGGTATTTTAGGAAATGCTGGTGTTCGGTGGAGGAGGCTACACATTGAGAGAGTAAAATAGATCTATTTCTAAACAGGCCATCCATGCATGTGAGCATCTCTCTCCCAGCGCACCCAAGTCCTGTGACTGCAGCTGACTGCGTGGTGTGCGAGCATGGGGCATGTTGGTCTGCTGTAGGTTTGGGTTAGTCTGCCACAGAGAGTTAGGCCGAAGCACACACCAAACGCACACCATGGAGGCTGCTGACTTCTATCCCATTACCCTTGTTGATACAGGGACTTCTGTGACCGCAGACCTGACCTAATGAAGAGCGGATGTGCACCAACACCTTCTCAATGTTCTGACTGTTTCTTTCATTTACCAACTACATTTTGTGCATTAATCTCGACACCCCGTTGACCTATGAGAAAACATGCTTTTGATTTTGTGGAAATTGTCACATGTACATATTGATGTTTTCTGATTTCACTTTATGTGATTTTTGGACATGGACAAATCTGAGTGTGGCTGTTCTGCTACTGTGGCTCCAAAGTATTAGCACTTTAACATTAGACTGCTATTTTGAACAAAATTCAAAGTATCACAGTGCTTCACATGAAGAAAACCCTTCATGTCCCATTCACACACACATACACCAGTGTGCGCAGACACTAGGGGGGAGCTGGGTTTAGTGTCTTGCCCAAGGACACACAACAGCATTAACCAATGGGAGCTATTTTCACACATGTCACTTTGACAGCTCAATCAATGATGTTTTTTTATAGCCTCTTTCACTGTAGATGTTTTATAACACTATTTATTTATATCCAGGTGTTGTTATTGCAAAAGTTTGAGGGACTATGCTTTGTAATCATACAATAGTCATTCTTTCATGGCCTCATGTATTGCCTGTTTAGTAAGTAAGTAAGTAAGTAATGTATATTCATATACTTGGTAGAGCTTGGTAGAGCTCTCAAAATGTTATAATTCAACAGGCACCCACAAAAAAAAAAAAAAAAAAATATATATATATATATATATATATATATATATATATATATATATATATATTTGTCTGTTTAAATTAAGATTGAGTTGGAATGTTTCATTCAAGCGTCACCCAGTCCCTCAGTGCAGCACCGTGGTTCTAGTGACGTTCGCAATATTATCAGTTTTCTATTTTTTATTAACATTCGCTACAATTTGCTTTATTAGTCACATTTTACTGTGCATTATTTCTTAAACATTTATCTGAAAAAATATTTTGGACCAGTAGGTGGTGCCACACTACAGCTTTCACCCAGACAGATGATGCTGCTCTTCAAGTCTGCAGTGAACCAAGAAGCTATGGACAAATACAAAGGCAGTTGTGGGTTAGGGTTCCATATCTGGTTTATATGTTACCTGGAAAATCACCAAACCTCCTTTACTAGTTAAACACAATATATTTTCTTATTCATAATGTATGTCTTTTTTACTGATCTGTATCTTTGTGAATTTTGGAACTATGTATCCATTGGTTTTTAGATTGCTGGAAAAGGATGCCAGAGTGGAAAGAGTTGTGAATACACTAAAGTAATAAAGTGCAGTTTTATGGAAAAAGGCCATTAGTGCAATTCATTTGTGTTCTACTTTGTGAGGGAATGGGATACATTTTAACCTTTCCATGTTAATTGTATCCTGTATTAGGGAATCATCTTGTATGATCATGTCCAATTAAGATGATAAACTTCCTAATATTATAGCCCTTGGTTTAACATTTCTAAGTTGTAGGCAATTTCAAAAAAAAAAAAAAGCACTCAAGAAAGGACAAAAATCCTTAGATAAGATAAGATAAACTTTATTGATCTCACAATGGAGAAATTTACCACAGTTATTAACTGTTGCAATATCCTGACCATACATATAACAATAAACAAGGTGCTAATATAGTAATGAAGAAGGCTTTTGTGTTATATTATAAGCAGCATTTACTGATCGCACACCTGCCCACGCATTGAGTAAATGTCAGTGTGCCTTTATCTGTAATGAATGTCTGACTGGTGCATTTTGTCTTGTTTGCAGAGAAGGAGTGTGACTCACCTGTCTCTGCACCTCCGCTGGCCATCATGGAGGACCCTCTCTAACACACGCGACTGAGGGGACCACGAGTTGAACGAGCCGCTTCATGAATTCACTGCACACAGGTAAAAGCGCGTCTGTGGTGATGCTGGATGTATCTCTGAACGTCCTGTCAGCAATAGGAATTTAGTGTCAGTGAGAGAAGGTTTTAGTGACATTGAAGGGAAGGCGGGCGATAAAGAATCAACCGTACGCAGCTTTAACAGTAGGCTGACATTTTCTTGATTAAGACACACAATTCTCTCAATCTGGTCCAATATATCATATCATGGAATATTTTGATGCAAGGCAGGGAAAGGTAAGTGTATTTGTATAGCACAATTCCTACACAAAGAAACTCAAAGTGCTGAACAAAACAAGATAGAGACAGCCACACAAGGCAATACAATCATAATCACTGTACATTAAAAAGAGTAAAGATAGAATCCCTCAGTTGTATGCACTGCTAAACATGACATGTTTTTACCTGGATTTGAACATTTCCAGAGAAGAAGCCTGTCTCACATTTTCAGAAAGACTGTTCCAGATTTTAGCTGCATAAATCTGAAATGCAGTCTCCCCTTGTTGAGTTCTGACTCTGGGCACCAGCAGGAGGCTAGTCCCTGTGCTCCTCAGAGTCCAATGCTATAATAATAATTGTTGTAAATTGTATATAACAGTGCTCCTGTGGACTCACCACCTGCAGGAGCATCAGTGAGGGGCTGGTGCTCTGTGAACTGGGTGCAGCTCTGACTGCCACCCCCCGACCCAGAAATGGATTAAGGGGAAGAAAATGGATGGATGGATGTATATAACAGTGGGAAGCAGACAGGTTTGATCCCATGTCGACTTGAGCCCTTCTGTGTTTTCATGTTTATCCCCATGTCTGCCTCGGGCTGGCGCCTAGCAGCTGACCTAGTACTGGTGCGGACCAGGGGAATCCGACTGTTTAATTAAAACTAAGCAACAAAGACCCCCCATGTCTGGGGCAAACCCAGACATGTTTATATTACTGTTTTAGATACTACAACAAACAAACAAACATTATAATGCATTTTTACTTTAAAAGTGACTTGTCCAAAAAGTGTTGAATTATTCTCATGTATATGCCCTCATTCCCCCATTCACTCTTGAATCTAGACATATTGAAAAGGTTATTCCCGGAATGACAGGTCAAGTCTCTGTCAACACATATATGTTTGTTGAGCGGGGGAAATCGTCTACAAGGTCTACAAAGAATCACAGACTACGAAAACGTCCCTGAAAACAGCTCCAGTCTCAAAAAAATGGACTTAAAAATTAGAGATGCAGTGCTGTGAGTAGTAACAGTTAGTGATTAGGATGATTCTTCTTCAAACCGTGCTCAACTCATTTTTGGAAGAAACTGGGTGCAAGACTTTATTGTAATTTTAAGGATAAACTACATATTTGTTAGTGTTTGTATTTGTGGTATGTGTACATTTGGGCCACTGACTCCCATAAGTGTTTCAAGTTTACAGTTTACTTCCCAATACATTTTTTTTAATGGTTTTTGACTTTTCACTGCCGAGGTTCTTATTGAAAGACTGGCTGAGATGTGTGTACTGTCACTCGCCTCGGTGATGTTTCATTTATCAGATGATGGTACTTCCAGAGGAGGCGTGGCCAGTCAGCTCAATCAGACTGACCACGCCCACGGAGGAATTACTCAGGAAGTCAATGAGAACTCAACCAGTTAAACATGTTTTATGTCTCTGCTGGATCCGGGGGTGACGGACTGAGTGACAGGCTGTAACTCAGTCGTCATGGTTACAAATATAGTACTTACAAGCAGAGTACAGACAGCCGCAGCGCAGACTCCTGGGGTCTATGCGCCTCAAATAGAAACGCAAAGATGAGTCATCGGCCGGGCTGCTGCAGTGCTCACCTTTAACAGATGTGTTTAGTATGGCCCTCGAGGCACCTGGTCACTCTCACCTTCCCCTGTCCACACCGGGCCGAGCGAGCTGCTAAAACCACTCAGCCAATCATGAATGAATTATTAGAGAAAAGCGCAGCACTGTTAGTTTGACACGGCTTCAAGACCGATGTTGTATGTTTGTTTTGATGGCAGTTGTGTTCTTGTGAGTCATAGTGAGACATCCCTGAAGCTGCTGGAGGACACAGAGCTGTTTACACAGAGCTGTTGCTGAGGAGGAGGAAGGTGATGAAGAGGAGGTGGGACCAATGCATCAGGGAGGGATAGGAAAGTAAACAGGAGATTATTTGGGCTAGTGTCAGAAGGTTCACTTGCTATTTTTATGCATCATTCTAATAGCAATCTAGGAATTGAATTGCTGTAAAAAAAAAAAAAAAAAAAGGCGGTTTATAGAAAGCATATTTTGCAGCGAGAATCAGGTCAAGGCAATCATTCTCACCTAATCAATGGTCCCAATCAAACATTTCACTAAGATGAAATTTGGATCAATTAGATAATTTCCACGTAAGTCATTATTAGTCCAGAAAGCTGAAACTTGTTTACACACCTTGGCTTACATTTTAATAGGTTACAACAAAGCATAAAGAAAGCATGAAGTTGAAGAAATTACTCAAAGGGTTTTGCCTCGAGTGAACGACTTACTGAAGCCTAACCCCATACACATGAATTACAATTTAAAGCACCGAGCATACGGCTGTTTCAATAACCAGCTAAATAAAACCATAATGATTGGGAACAATTTGTTTACTCAGTATATTCACAATAATTGTCACATACACATTTCATTGTTTTTGAGAAATGCACTTTTACCAAGGCTTTACAGTGAACTGGTGCTGTGGTCTGTTCTTTATAAAGCCTCTCGTTATAAGCCTTTTTTTCTCAGGACTCAAGTGAATGGAACAAACAAAGCCTATAAATAGCAGACAGCAGTACTTTCAATTAATAATATGCGCACTGACACTGAAGTGAGTGCTGCCTCGTCTTCTGTGGCTAAAATAGGCTTCTCTGTGGTTTTCCATGGACGTTCCCGAGCTGCAGTACACCACCTGATGAAGTACAAGATTAGATGACTGTTTTAGATTGATTTAAATATTAATAGGAGAGTTTATTTTAAGTCCCAGGCTGCAATGTTTGGTCTTAGAATATTATAGACTCTTTTATCCAATGCAGCATGCACATGGAATTTTACACATAGGATTGATGTGAACTGAAAAACTGAATAATATCATTTATTACTGCCTGGAAGTGGGAGTTCTTGTTCAATCACAATGTTAGATAAGGAAGAAGGAAACACACAATACATTAGTTCACTTAAAGGCATACATGTTGAAATCTTTCTGTTGGTGCACACCTAATAAACCCAAATAAACTAAATACTTTATCAATTAAAAGTTCTCTCTCGCTCTCTCTCACACAGACACACACACACACACGCACGCACGCACTCACTCAAAACAGTCAATCTTGATTTAGAATACAATTGGATTAAGATTAATTAATTAATTATCATGCTTTGCAACATGTGCAAGCAGCAGTTTTTTCTTCTGGGATTTTAATTGTGCCTAATCTTGCACTCACAACATACATTTGCGTCATTGATGCTGATTCAAAATGTGCGATATCCTTGGAATTGCTCAGTCTCATATTCTATCCTTTCCAATCAATCTTGGGATGATTATGTAACCGGTGACAGGCCTCATTAATTCAAGCATCTGCCACCGCGAGCTCTGCAAAGGTCCCACATCGCTGCAGACGGGTCAAGGTAACCGCGCAGGTCGTCATAGCTACCGGGGGTTAAAGAGTACACCCCCGCACTTCCCTCTTCAGACCTGGAAGGGACACTGTTTATAACGACACATGAAGTGGAATATAATTGTGCTGTGGGTTTTGATCATATCTCCCACGACTGAAGACGAGAGCGCTCCATCTTGTTTCCCAATCGACAGGTGAAGAAGACATAGCGACAAGACAACCCCCCACCGACAACACTGGCGGGAGGCTTACTGCTCTACTCTGCACTATTTTTATCCAGCCGCTCCTCCTCCCCACCGGGCTATTTTCAGCTGTGCCCCCCTTACCCCCCACCCCCTCACCATCACCACCACCTCCTCCATCTCTCGCTCTGTTAGTAAATGTTTTTTTCTTTCCATAGCAGTAAAAGCAGTACTGTGAAGCGAGGATCAAAGCTTGTATAAGGACTCCCCTTGTCTTTTCACTTTCTCTCCTCTCACTGATCCACTTCCCCTCCCTCCTCTCTCTCTCTCTCGCTCTCTCTTCCACCTCCCTCTCTTTCTCTCTCCACTGTTGTTCATTCACACTCACAGACACTCAATATTAGCAGTCTGACCGGGCAGCTGTTTCACCAGCTCTTTTCCTTTCAACTTATTTCTCTCTTCTGTCATTTCTGTTCTCATTTTGGGTCATTTATTTTATCGCAACTTTTTTTTCTACTTCTTTCCTACTTCTCTTTCTCTCTTCTGTCTTTCTCTCAGTGCTTCGTTCTAATTTTGGAAGCATGGAACCTCGGGGAGCGCTCTCCCAAAGCTATTTGCGTCCCAGCCTCCCTTCCTCCGCGTCTTCTGGGCTACTTGTAGTCATACAGGAGGAGATGGGCACGAGGCTTTGATGCGCCTTGCAGGGGAATTCACCTCTGTTTGTGTTTGAGACGTGGAAGCATCTGTAGCTCCTCCACTTCTTCTGCAAGACAGAAGGAGTTCGATGCTGATGCTGCCGGCACATGTCTACGTTTTTCTTATGTTTTTTATCTGATCCTTTTTTGTTTTACTTTACATAAGAAGCGCTCTTTAAAATTACCAACACTGTGACTGCTTGAGAAGAATTTTTTTCTGACCTTCTGAATCATGATTTATTATGTTGGATCCACTGCATAGGACAAACTGACAAACTGTGGCGAGACTGACCAGCATAATACAAAGTGGAATCTAAAACTACATGGGACGAGCTATCCGTGGAGTTTGCAAATGTGCGTGTACTTTCAGAGATTGGAAGCCTTGGAGGATTTTTCAATGTCAGGCATTCAGTGACATTTTGCAGTCTCTTGAGAAAGCCATGTTGACATCTGGGCTGACACGCTGACTGGTGTTTTGGGACTGAGGCGCCTCTGGTCCTGGCATGCTGTTGCATCCTCCCGTGTCAGGGCTGTGCACCATGTTGCAGACCATCTATGAGACAGAGTCCTGCTTTTCCAGTTCAGGAGCAGACAGCCACCAGCCGCTGGAGCTCCTCAGAGACGGCAGCAGGAGCTCTAGCGCTGCCGTGCCCACGACCGGTGAGTCATCTCTGGGAGAAAAGAGGGGGGGAGAGGAGCAATGAGAATCCTGAGTGGAACCCCAACACTGCATCCTGTAGTTTCCGACACACACTTAAGACAGTTCTGTGCTTGGTCCTCAGAGATGTGTCCTATAAAGTAGAATTTGATTTAGTGGGCGTACAGCAATGGCATTAGAATCAGAATGGCACTGCACTCCATGTGAGGAACTGTTTTGATCTCATATGAAAATAGTATAATTGTTGTGGCCTAAAGGGTTGCTTTATTGAATGGATACTTTTGCTTTGTTGTGCTTTTTTTGCCAGTATGTACCAGACGAGCATCTGTACATATTTTCCCATCAGATTATGCAATGCGTTTGTTTAGTGAATGACAAACATTTATTATGTGCATACAGCTTATTTGTGTTCCAGGTTCTCAATGGTCTTTGTTGGGACACACAGGAAGTATATTCACTTTAATCTTCTGTTGAGCTGTGTTTACTCTTTTGGCTCAGTGGCAGATACAGGTCAGTGGAGCGCACCAACCCTGTCACTTAAGTATAAAAAAGCCACTCACTCTTTTGTTTTTGAATATCCCTCTGTGGTGTCAAATAATAGTGTGGGTGTCCTGTTTATCTATTGTATAGTTGTAGAGCACAATTGCAATTAAAATAAAATAAAAACTAAAACATGCAAAAGAAACTACATTTTAAACAACTAAACCAATAGGTTTATTGTACGTCTCTTTCATATACAGTAATAATAACTAATGTTTATACTACTACCAGAAATTATACTTGATGTGCATAACAGAGACAGAAAATAACAGAAAATAAAGAAATAACAAGACATCCAAAAATAGAGAGACATACACAGGTCTAGAGAAATGAAAGTCAAAAGTGAGTCTTTAGTTTAGTTGAATGAGTTCAGTGTAGCACATGTGACGTCATTATGCAGAGCGTTCCATTTACATAAGGAAGAAGAAAATTAGAAATATATGAAGCTGCTAGACTGTGAAGGGAATTATAAACAAGGATATGGATTTTGATTTTTTCATCTTAAAAGAACGTCTAATCAACATTGTTTTATTATAGGTGTAATGTTAGATCTGTTTTGCTGTAACAGTAATCTACTTGAGACAAATGCATGTACAAGTACTTCAGCATCTTTACTAGAACGTAAAAGAAAAGATGTATTTTCAGTGAAAAAGGATAATTTAGCAAGCCTTTTACTTGTTCTGTGTATGAGTTGGCTGTGTGCTTTCCCATTGATGATGTGGAGTTTTGTCCTATCATTAATCTCTAGAGAAGCAGTTTGATAGAACTCGTGCTTTATGTTGGCCTTCCCCAGGGATCTGAAGTGGCTCCGTCAGCTCAGGTGTGATGCACTAAATGGGAATGCACTGGTAAAAATAGTTTTTGAGAGCCACAGTATGCTGTCGTACTGCAGCCTAATTATGTAGCACAGGTGTTTGTCACTGTTCTCAACCTGCAAACAGTACTTAGCAGCTTAGCAAAATAACAGCACTGAAAAAACATCTTACATTTACAAAAGTAATTTTGGCATTTAGATTTTGATCCTTATCATTGTCATATCATTCATATTGAGTTTTGCTATGATCAATATCACAGCAAAACAACGCAATTGTTTCAAGGTGAATCACAAACACACTATTATAACACTGATTGTTTATATAGGGTTTTACTTTGATTCTTTATTTTGTCAATTCTGGCAAACAACGTGATTGACTAAGCATGTTTCCTCCGAGTCTCAGACTATGCTGGACACTTGGACTATCCTGGTTAAATAAAGGTTACTGTCACGCTTACATCCTTTACTTGCTATTTTTTTTCTTCAAAAGGTAGCTCTCATGTACTATCAACCGCAGATTTTGATAGTCTGTACAGTAACAGGTTTCAGGCTTGGTTTCCTGAAGGGCAGGAGAAAAACAAGTGTGTGTATATACGTAACACTCACAATATGCCATGTGAAGGCTAGATAGATTTGTAGACTTGTTCACCTTGACCTATACAACTGAAAATAGATTTACTGAACATTTAACTGTCCCAGATGTTAGGAAGACATGTTAGCAGAATACAGAACAACCACTAGCATGACTTACAGACTGCCAGCCCATAATATGCACAAGCTGTCCCGGTCGTCGCTACGGAAACCTCACACATGCGTCTCGTTTTGTTCATCTCTAAGCTTCTAATTTGTCTGAAGTACACTTGGCCATTATACTATTTTTACCTCTTGCCCTTTTCTTCTCTGCCGCTCTGTCTCACTTTCTGCTGCTTTTATACTGTGTCTTTAGCTGCACTGACGTCATATAGTGCACTTTTCTTTTAGCTGCAGAGAAAGAGCAACAGGAGAACAATCTGAACATTGGTTTAGCAATTAACTGGTAACAAAAAGATGAAAAAAAAGAACAGTGGACCTTAGTTAATGGTTTATTGGCTTGGAAAAATATTGAATCAGTGTTTTAGTATATTTTACAATCTGGAAAGAACAAACACACATCCTTAATTCTTAACAGCGTGGACGGTTGTCAAAAAAGTTAAATGAGCAACATTTGGCACACCAAGCAGCTTGCTTCACCTGTTCTTTGTTCATGTTTGATACATTGTCTAAAGTGAAAAGTTTGACTTCAACCTGAACCTTAACCCTGTACTCTTTGCAAGCCTTAACCATCCATGACCCATTTTAACCCTGGCAAAACAAGACATGCATATGTATACATGTAATAAACAGTACATCTAATGTGTGAATGATGTCTCAAAAAGTAAAAATACAAAGTTGTTGCAGATTGAATCCAGATTGAATCCAAATAAATTATTCCATGCACAAAGAAGAGTTTACAGATTTTGATTGGTCTGTGATATCATAGAGGGAAGCATTGTGGCACAGTGGTTTGCACTTGTTCTTCACAGCAAGAGTTTGCATGGTCTCCCTGTGTCTGATTAGGTTTCCTCCAGGTGCCACTAAACATGTGAAATAATTCCCTAGAACACCCTCCCGGCCTCACGCCTGCCCTCTCTGTCTGGAGCCAGGACTCCTCTAAAAAGAGATTCTGCAATCTCAGTGGGACTGACTAGGTTTCCATTATCTGTTCCATAGTCATCACAAATTAATCTCATACTAAAACATTTTCACACTACAGTATGTCTATCATCTGTATAAAATAACAGACAAATATTTTAGTTATTTCACAAGATAAACTTGTAGTTGCTCCCCATAATAATACCTGCTTCACAGTGCACACACAAGTTGGAAATTCCCAGTTGGTGGTTTGTATCTACATGTAGCTCGCTGCGTTCCAGTGGTTGTCTTCTTGAAAAAAATAGCATCTGGCCACAGGAATAGTGTCATGTAAAGACACCGAGACAGCGGGCCGCAGGATGATGTCATCACAGACTCACCATTCCCTGTTTTCAAGAACGAAGTTTTTACTTGTGGTAACAAATGTTTTAGAGCTAGTCATCCTGGCAATGTTCTTTTAAACTGAGACATTTCAGCTGGTTTCCGGAGGCTATTGACAAACCAACTTTGATCTTTGGTAGGACTGCATGACTTTGGTCCATCAATGACAAATCTATCTATTCTTCTTTTATTTAGTTTGGTTGCAATTAAACTTACAATTAATGTGTTTTATGTTCAGTTCCCCCTTTGTAAACAACTCCAATAGCATTAACATTTTAGAGAAGAATAATAGAAAATGTCAGACTTTCTTAGTTAATATTTTATTATGGGAGTCGGCTTCTTCTTCCTCTTTCTTTTAAAATCAACAACATTCGGATTGCTGTAAAGCTCATCAATTAGAAATTAGTTTTTGATTTCAGCACTAGTAATGTTTCTGCCCTAATTTTTGAAACATTAGAGTTTTCACGGGAAAGACTCACCACCAAAAATAGCTTCAGCTGAAAAGTGAATAATAAAGTTGGTTTCCAGTCCTGCCCATACAATATCCTGCTTCCTGGTTCTTTATCAGACTCATTAAACATATTAATCGATAATCTTCACTGTTTAATCTCTATTGTGTGTATTTTTATATGTATATGTATGTATATATATATATACTAGTGCTGTCCAACGATTAAAATATTTAATCGCGATTAATCGCATGAATTTCATAGTTAACTCGCGATTAATCGCAAATTAGTCACACATTTGCGTGCTGTGTGCAATTGCTTTTTTTTATTGAAAACAAGGTGTAGTGTTATATTACACACTAACATTTGATGCAAAATCATCAATAAATGGATGACAAAATAAATAATTGGTAACAAAAAGCCCCTTCAATGTGTGTGTGTGGGTGTGTGTGTGTATGTGTGGGTATAGACCATAGACTGTATAGAAACATCATGGTGTCATTATGATGATGATAAACAATCTGTAAATATTTTGTAAATTTGTTCATGTGAATACTCTATGCTGTTTCTGTTTACCTTCGGTATATCTATGACTGTATACTGTTTGCTTGTATTGCCTTTTTTATTAACCCCTCCCCCCATCTCCCACTTCATGCCCCCCCCCCCCCCCCCCCCCCCCTCCTATGCCCCCCCCCCCTTTTTTTTTTTTTTTTTTTTAATCGCGCGATAAAAAAAATGACGGCGTTAATATTGATTTGCGTTAACGCGTTAATAACGCGCTATTTTGGACAGCCCTAATATATACATAATATCTAAATCTTTTTGATTTTACCTTTTTAGAACTTGGAACACCTACATTTGTTACTTCCTGTTACTTACAATGGCAATAGAAATAATTGTTGATTCTGATTTGTTGCTATAAACAAGCTAAAAGATCTAGTGAAGTCTATATGGGTGTAAGTTTTTTTCATGGTAAGGTTTAGGGACAAAATGACCATAGACAGAACTGTCATAGAGGACACAATACATCTATTTTTCTTTCATCAAATACCTCCTGACTGCAAGCAAGCATGCCGTTAGGAGTCTCATTATGCGATCAAGTTGAACATTAGCCCTGCTTGTAACTAACTGTGTGTGTTTACCGGAC